TAGTCAAGTAGGGCACTTATTCGGACCCTCTTGCATGAGGGAAAAACTTGTAATAATTTGTGTATGTCTTCCAAACCCACTTCTTTCTTCCTTTTATTTATCTGCTTATAATGGTAGCATTACATTTTTTCATTTTTCATATCATTACCATGCTTACAATATCCATTTTTTGCATACATTTGGCTCGGTGCATAATTCTAACTTTGTGGTTGTTTATCCAAAAAATATGCTTAACTGTATACTATCAAATTGATTCACATGTTATACTAGTAGCCGAGCCTATTACTTGCATGTAGTATGTGTTGCATTAATCATTTTACATATGCATTTTTTCTAATTATTTTTCCTCTTTTGGCTTGCCTCGGTTGAATACTAGGTGAGCATTCATTGCTTTAGCATATTGCATAAGTGTTAGTGTTTCCATATTAAGCATAATACCATGAGGCTAAGTGCTTAATTGATATACTTGTTTAAATGCTAGTGGATGAAGGTTAATTTGCTTAAATTGGGATGATTTGATTAAATGTAAATATGAGCCCACTTTTTCAAGTGGCACATATTCGAAACAATTTTCAAACAAATATAAAATCAAAACGTTTCAAATTTTGTGAATTAGTCTATACTTGTGTGCATCATATAGTAAAAATAGCCTAATAACCGAAACAAGAGCACATATTATCCATAAGAATCATATCATGATTAGTAGAGGCCAATCTTTAATCGAGTGAGTAGGGTGCTCAATTCATGACCTCCCCTTCTCATACCTAAGTTTCCAAGGTGAGACAGTTTGGTGATAACAAACACGTGGCCTTTGGCACAAGTCACAGCTTTTCTAAATTTTTCCAAAATATTTAGGTGGCGACTCTGAAATCTGGCAAAGTAGTTCATTTTTGGCATTTTGATCCAACATCAATTTTCCAAAAGATATGTTATTTCACATTACACTTATGAAATTAGATTCAGAATCGTGGGAGTTCGAACTGTAGGGCTATCATATCCAAAAAGAGAACGAAAAACAAGCTACAAGCACTGTTCAAAATTAAAAGTTGTCTCGTTAACATAATTTATTTTACAATAAGACCAAAATACCCTTGTTATTTTTCCCTCCATTGTGACCTTTCATTTCTCTTTTTTTTTAACTTTATCTTTTCACCTTCCTTCAATACAGATGCTTTACATGTTCTTCCTGGACATTTTACGTAACAAAAAAGAAGCAGCCACAATGGACAGTCCACCAAAAAATCCCAATGAGTTGCTAGAAATTTTAATCCTCAATCAAGAGCTTGACTCGGACGTTTTTGCTTCTCCAGTGCAGATACACAAAGATTCCATCACAAACACCCTAAACTGTACATATCATTAGTAAATATAATTGATAACTTTTTTATTAATTTTTTCAATACTAGATGCAAAGAGAAAACATATTCCACTTATATTTATTAATGTAGATTTTATTACACCTTTCTGTCTAGGGGAAAAAGGCTTGGCATGAAATAGGATGGCCTTCCCTATATTATGGGGTGTGTACCATATGTAGTATGTTGTGTATTTTTGTAGTGTATATTACACATTTTTATAGTAAATATTATGTAATCTTTTGATAGATTTATGATATTTCATGCTTAAAAAATGAAGTCACAAAGTTGCAAAAATGTTACAAAAATCACTTATATAAAAAATTCGTCAGAAAAAGAGGGAGAGAAGAATGAACTTGGCTTATTATGAAATTTTATCATGGAGACTGTCGAATATATTAGAGGCAAAAACTTATATGGGTGAGGAAGAGAAGATAGATTTGTCCGTGATATATACACAGATACATATATATATATCAATAATTTTTTGAAAATAATAAGTGCAAATATTCACATTTCAACTAATAAAAATAAGAATAATGATTCATTCCTTTAATTTTGCTTTTTCAATTTCACTCTCAATGATGTTGAATTGGAGAGGGTAAAAGTGAGAGTGTGAGACCGCTTTTTTCACAATAAGCGGTATGTACCGGCCGGTATGTACCGGAAAATTGGAGTGTCGAGTCGGATATGGGCCGATATACCAGTGAGAATGAAATTCGCATCTGTAGCAGCCGATTCCCGATACGTATCGGCCTGAATCTGATATGTGAGCGATTTAGTTCCGATACACGTATTCTATCTCCGGTATGGCTGAAAATGGGGCAGAGAACCTCCTGCAAAAGCAAAAATAATTGAGCAAAGCACCCACAAAAACAAAAACAAATGCAAAAAAGGAAGGGAACAGACTCATGGACTCAAACCTTTCACTTCAAATTTTTTGTCTTCTTCAAGCAATACACAAAACAGACTCATGGACCACCATAAATTTGTAACAACCTCTAAAGAAAAACCCTCAATCAGACCAAACCCAAATCCTCAATCAAACCCAAATCCATCTCCGAGGGGCATCGATCTTGTAATATGTTGCAGGAAGAAGCATCGAATCAAACCCAAACCCATCACCGCTTTTAAGCTTCTTCGTTGAAGGTGTGTTCTGTCATGCTCTGTTTATATATTTGTGATGCTTTGTTTTTTCTTTTCGCTGAATAAGTCATGCTATGTTTTCTTGTTAAGTTGTTGTGTTCGGTTTTATATATTTGTTTTGTTTTGTTTTGTCTTTTTTTTTTCCGCCCCTTTTTTATGTTTGTTCTGTGGTTATTTATTATTTATATTATGGTATGGGATGGGAATGGGATATATTTTAATATATATTTATGATTGTTCAACTATTTACATATATTGTTTTTTTTTTCTTTCCTTTTTTTTTTTGTTTTGTAGTTGATTTAAGCCACTGTTCTGTGGTTATATCATGGTATGGGTGGGAGATATTTTAAGATATATATTTATGATTGTTCCAATATTTATATATGTATATATATATATATATATTTTCTTAGCAATGTACCTGTAGAGTATGTTTCATACTTATTTCACTTCTTCATTCCTTTAAGTTGATTTATTAGACTCATTGTTCATGAACCTATTAAAACCAATAAATTAAGTGGTAGTAGTGTATAATTAGGCTCATTTATCGAACCTGCTTGACTGACTTTCACTATAGTTTTCAAAACTTTTGCTTGTCAACAACTTGACTGTTCATTTTTTTTTTTAAAGAGGTTTAATATTTTAGATTTTTAATTTTTATTTAAAGAGGTTTAATCTGTTAGATTTTTTTATTTCAAATTTTTTTTATTATTTCAAATTTTATTTTAGATTTTTTAATCTGTCAATTTTTTTTATTTCAGATTATTTTTATATCAGATTTTTTTAAAGAGGTTTAATTGTTAAGTAAAGAGGTTTAATATTTTAGATTTTTTATTTTTATTTTAAATGGATTATTATTAATAACTAAATTAGAATTACAATATTTGTTAATTGAAAATTGTTATTGTACATAATTGAAAGTTATAATGGCGCACAAAGGTGGTTCTAGTGGAAAACCTCAGTGATGATAATGGTTGGAAATTTGGAATTCCACTAGAAAATAATAGGCATAAAATTAGGTGTACATTTAGTGGAAAAGAGCTAAATGGTGGTATAACTATAGGTTGAAGCAACATTTGGCCCATATGAAAGGTCAAGTCACACCTTGTGCTAATGTCAATGGTGAAGTTCGAACACTAATGATGGATCATTTGAATAATTATAAGGGCAAAAATCTTGACAAAAGGAAGATGAAAGAGGAATTGACAGAACAAATTAGAGCCAGTCAGTGTGATGATGATGAAAATGATGAGGAGGACCTAGAAATGGTTTTGGCCTGACAAATTATGGCTAGTGATATTGAGGTTGTACCTCTTCCTGGATTTGCTCGATGAAGTCATAGTGTTCGTGAGGCTAGTACAAGTAGGAAATGGATTGATACATCCTCTCCAGAAGTTCAATTATTAGACATATATGTGGATCTTCATAGGACCAAAGGCAACAAAAAATCCAAACTCTCATCTAGATTCTTGAAAGAAGCAATGAAAAAATTAGGAAGAGCAGTTAGCCAGTTTGTATTGTTCACTCCAGTGCCTACTAATGTTGTTAATTATAAATGGCTAGAACCAATGTTGGATACTGCAAGAGAGGTTGGAAAAGGAACAAAGCTTCCTAGCTCTTATGAAGTAAGCCTCTAACTCAAAGTTTGAAAAAACTCTATCTATGTTTAAAAATAAATAAATTATTAAGATGCTCATTAATAGTTTTTGTTTGTTATTTATTATTAAACAGGTAACTGAAGTGTATTTACCAATGGAGTATGAAGCTTTACAAAATTGGATAAAATCTCATAAATCTAGTTAGGTTGAGAGAGGTGTTACAATTATGTGTGATGGATGGTCTGGGCCCACAAGAAAGCACATTGTTAATTTTCTTGTGTATAGCAATCGTGGAACAATTTTTCAGAAGTCTATGGATGTAATTGATGTACCTAGTAGGACAGTTGATTATTACTTGGGCCTCATGGACAAGGTAGTGGATGAAATTGGAGAAGAATATGTTGTGCAAATCATAACTGATAACGAAGCTGTGTTAAAGGCAGCTAGTTACGAACTCATGCAAAAAAGGGAGAATTTGTATTGGACGGGATGTGCAACTCATTGTATTGATCTTATGTTAGAGGATATTGGGAAGAAAAAAAGTGTACAAAAGGTGTTGGATTGTGTAAAAGTAATCACACGCTTTAATTACAACTCCAATTGGGTTGTTGATTTCATGAAGAGATTCACAGGAGATAGAGAGTTGTTACATCCTATCATCACACGCTTTGCCACCAATTTCATTACTTTGGAAAGCATTATTAAACTTAAGACTGCTTTACAGGATATGTTTCATTCTCAAGAGTCGAAGCATAGCAAATGGTCCAAAAAGGATGACACAAAAGAAGCAAAAAAAATTATACAAAGTAAAGATTTTTGGACCAAGGCGGCAGATGTATTAAAAGTTCAATAACCACTTCTAAAGGTGCTTAGACTTGTAGATGGGGATGAAAAGCCCACAATGGGTTTTATATATGAAGCCATGGATAGAGCAAAGTTGGCCATCAAAAAAAATTGTCGCTATTATGTAAATTATTGGAAGATTATTGATAATCGATGGGCTTTCCAACTACCCACAGACTTATATGCTGTTGGTAAGTAATTTTTAATTTATTTAAATTATAAATTATGTGTTCCTTGTCTCACTTTTATTATTATTTTATATTTGAATGTAGGTTGCTTTTTAAATCCCATATTCCAATATGGGGAGCACCTTTCTAATCATCAAGAAGTGAAGAGTGGAGTTAGAAATTTGATTTCGAGACTTCTACCAGATTTAAATGAGCAAATACAGGCGGTAAACCAAGTTAGTCATTATTTAATATTAGTTAAATTGATAACTTATTATTTGACTTGTGAATTGTGTTTGTAAAACTGCTTATTGCCTTTTGTTCATTGCAGATCTCTTTATTTTGTAATAAAGAAGATTCTTTTGGTGCTGTGTTAGCACAAAGAGCAGTGAAAGCAACAAATCCTGGTAATTATTATATAATCAATTAACTATTAACTATTTTAATTACATATTATTGTTACATTGTCAACACTTCTATATCAAATTATAACATAATCACTAATAATTGATTGATTTGTATATAGCTGAATGGTGGATCCGTTATGGTACATCGGCTCCGGCACTCCAAAAAGTGGCTGTGAAAGTATTGAGCCAAACCATGTCTTCTTCTAATTGTGAGCGCAATTGGAGTACATTTAGCCTAATACATACAAAGACAAGGAATCGGTTGAAGTATAAAAAATTAAATAAACTTGTTTATGTGTATTACAATATGTGGCTAAAGATCAAACATGCAACACGAAAAAGCCAAGATGACAGAGAGGGATCATTTAACCCCATCAATCTTGACTATATATTTGAAGAAGATGATCTATTAACTCCATGGCTTCAAGAGAGAGAACATGCAGTCTTGGATGATGAAGATAACTTAGGTTGGTTGATTATTGATGATGGTGATGAGGGAGATCATGCCACTAGTAGCCAAGTAGCTCAACACCATCAAAGAACAGGGTCTTCTGGAAGTGGCTTTAGTGAGGGTTGCAGTTTGAGTCCACCTAGTGGTAGTGGAGATGATAGCGATGGCAGCCGTCCACCAACAGGTGGTGGTAGTGGTGGACAATGGGAGTCTGCAGGTTCTGCACATGGTTGTAGACGTAGTATTCATCATATTAATCATGATTGGAACAGGGATTCTACACAGCAATGACGACATTCTATTTCTACTCCTGATGTAGAAGCATCAATTGGGCATTCATGACATATTGATGATATTTATGGTCATCGTGACCTTAGAAATCAATTTGGACATCTCGGAGTTAGACAAGAAGATGGAAGGGGAACTCAACATTGGCGACCAATATGCCAAGTACCATATCCTTATTACCCTCCTCCAAGTCAACCACCACCACACATCTATCAACCACCTTATATGCGAAATTGGAACTACTCTCAGCAACCTCATCAGTATCCATATATAGAGGGTTTCAATTATGGTACATGGGGGCTTGCAATGACATAACCACAATCAAGTAGCAGTGGCAGCAACAACACCACTTATGATCAATGCACTTTCAATAACTACTACCAGGAATATCAATATGGAGAAATAGGCCAACCAATTCATAGTGATGATCAAAGTGATGTGAGATATGGAGATTCTTCTATACCACCACGTAATTCTTTTTATTACTGAGTTTTAGAGTTGTTGATTTGTAGTAGATTGTTTGTATGCGATTATGACTGAAGCGAATGATTTTTTTTCATGTCCCTCTTTCTCTTATTAATTTGTTGTGCATGTGGAAGTATTTCATTGTTGAAAATAAGTAAAATAATATTTCCACATCAACTTTTATATTAAAAGTTTAACATATATGCCAAATAAAAGCTTCAGACTAAAATAAATACATATCATTTAGTTGAAAATGAGTCAAAAGTGCCTCTACATATCAAAATTTTGATTAAAATGTGATACATTAAGGCTAAAAGAGTCAAAAAAATGCATAAAATTGAGTTTTAGAGCGATTGCTAATGATTTTTGAAATTTCACAGCCGCGACGCCCAATACTCAATACATACCGGTCGATACTACCGATACCGATACTCCGTGATCATTACCATTACGTTACCCGATACCGCGATTTAGAACTATGGGTGGACCATGTCATTAGGGGTGGAAGGGGATGTAACATCACTCTAAAAATAATATACATTTGAAAATGAAAGTTATATTTATAATATAATGAACAAAACCAAACCATTTGTGTGAACTTAACTACAAAGTTATCATTTTTATTTCATAAAATTTATTTTATATTTAATATGTAATATATTATTATTATTTGATTGTAATATATAAACTTATTGGGCAGTCTTGAAACTGTAATGTAATTTTAAAACTTTTAGACCCAAGATTGATCTTTTTTCTATTTTTTAACCTTGGCATGAACCTGGAGTTTTGTGTATTCTGACCCTGCCATGAACATACCTTAGTCAATGCCTACCCCTAGTCTAAAAGGAATAAATATAAGGAATAAATGTAGTGATAATTTGATTCTTCGCGGCCATAATAAATAGAAGAGAAAATTGAATTTCTCTCTTTGTCATTTCAAAAAAAGAAAAAAAGAAAAGAAAAGGAGTAAGTTGTAACACGTTTACTAAAAAAAACCCTTTTGTAGCGAATCAGTTATTAGAAAAAATTGATAAGCTTAACACAAAAACAAAAAAATAAATAATAGTAACTTGGTCCTGGACATCCACTAATAAATTAGTGTATGCATGAAATATTTATCGATGGCTCACTCATATTGTAAGAATAATAATAGAATATTTCTGAATTTTGAGCATTCCTCAAACACAACATATATTTTAAAAGTCTCACAATTTTTCATTATTAAAATCAGGGACAAATACATAAAATTTTGTTCACTCGAAATTTATAAGTAAATAAGTCCAATTAATAAAATCTATACGTAATTATCCCTATTCATACAACAATAATGATACATAGCTCTACTACTAAAGCTCTAAACGGAGCTCTAGTGAGGTGGAAGAGAGAGAGAGAGAGTAAAGAGAGATAGAAAGAGGAGTGTGGGCCTCACCTTTATATAAGCACTCTCCACATCATTAGAATTGCATTAGAGCTCTAAAACATTATTTATTTACACAATGAATCTAAGAGGATAACATTGAGGAGAATATATTAATTGGTTGGGTTTGGTGGACAGGTTGAGAATCACTTGTCAACTTTTTAATTTCTCACTCTATTTTCTATGTCTCTCTTTACTCATGCACCTAAGAAAAAATCTGATAAATTATGTAAATCTTGTATAATTTGTGATTGATTTTCTTTTTATTATAAATTACTTTAATTTATTCTAAAATTTGAGATTTGGAATTCACAATGAAGGTCCTTAAGATCCAAACCCATTACAACTTAGCCTTGATGCTACTTTGTCAAACCGAGTTCCACCACTCTCCTAAAACTAGTTGGTTGTTAGAAAAGACATCATTTTGTCTTTTATGATATTTGACATCGTTTTTCACTAGCTTATTTTTAGAATAGTCACAAGGAGCGACATGTATATCAACACAAGTCTTTAACATCTTATATATATACACATATAGCTAGTTTCACATAGTTGTCAAGCACCTTCATCACCTACACATAAAGGGAAGAGTGGGCGAATACCCAACGAATAATAATAGATCAAAGCTACTGCAAACAAGGATATCACATTTCATATAACAATAGCTAAACAAAAGCTTAAAAGCTTGACCAAATGGTTGTTTTCTAATGCTAGTTTTAAGGAGTAAAAGGGGCTAAATATAAAATGGGTCGGGTCTAAGCCTTGGGTTGACCCAATCCATTAGACTCAAGACCTGAGAAGCAGGATAAGCAAGTGGGCCAGTTAGATTAGCCCAGTTACATCGTCAACAATCCACCCAAGTCCTTAAGCACTTGAGTCCAGCCTATAATGGAAAGGTCAGTCCAGCCATGATGTCGGGCTGGGTCGAGCTGTAGGGCCTGATCTTTGGACCAAACCAAGATGGCCCAAGCCAATACAAAGGTATCCTATTGGGCTAGCCCATCTCTACAAGCAATCCCATAGAGGGCCAAGCTGAGGAACAACAATGCTGAGCCAAAGGAACACACCAGAGAAATGTGGAAGTTGTGAGTATATGCATGTGCAAGTTGCCACCTCAGCTGGTCCCCTACACCTAGAATCATGGAAACAGTTAATCAAAGGAATGTGGTTTGTTATCAGCATGACTACAATGAGTATATGCACCCCTTGACAACTACCAGATGGTCCCCTACCTGGGAAGAATGCTAAAGGAAACAAAACAGCACCAAAGCTCTATGAAACCATCTTGGGCAACAAGTAAAGAGTTATATAAAAACTGCACTGACTTCACATTGAAGGTAACTGATCTAAGCTAAACCCCACTCACTGAAACATAACTCTCTACACTTGGAGAGCACCTTCCACCTTCTCCAATTACTCATTCTCACACGGGAGGGGTTATCCGACCAACCCCGACCGGCAGCTCTGACGGTGCTCCTTGTTGCAACGCCTCAATTCCTGGATAGTCCAATCAAGTGTGGAGCTCCAATCTACAATCATCTAGGGCGGTATTCAGTATGCACAATTCGTGCGGTGAACGTGGACTGCTTTGTCTTTGTAGACACCCCATTTTTGACCGACCTTAAGACTCAGATGTCATCGATTGAGCGCTCGGTGATAGTCCATGTTGTGCTCGTTTTTAGGTTTCAGAGTTTTGGCTGAGAGCCTTGCCTCTAGGCCTCTGAACTCTTTGTGTTTCAGCTTGGTTTGCGGACCAAGCCTTGTTTTCCTTGCCAAAGGGAACGAGAGGTCTTGTAGACCACTATTTTCTGGCCTTGTTTTCCTTGCCTGAGGAAAGGAGAGGTCTTGTAGACCACTCTTTTGTGGTCGTAGACCACTTTCCCGCTCGGAGACCAGTTTCTGATTTTTGGAGCCTTCGGCCGCGCGCCTTGTCTTGGGACCGCTTAACGTTCTCCGTTTGGCGTGGTTTTTGAACCACACCTTGGTTCCTTGGCCTAGAGGGCCACTATGGTTTGGGAGACCACTTTTGTGGTCGTAAACCACTTGTGGTGCCGGTAGACTAGTTTTCCAGGCTCTTGGCTGCGTGCTTTGCCTCCCGAACTTTCGTCTTACATCCGTTTTGGTTTGTTTTTGGTAAAAACCTTGTTTTCCTTGTTTGGAAGGTGGTATAAGGGTGGGAGACCAGGTCTTCCCCTTGGAAACCACTTTTTTTCTCACCAGCCAATTTTCTAGTCTGCCAACTGGTCTCTTTGGTCTTTGGTCCACATTTTCTGGTCGGCCACCACACCACTGCATTGTTTTCATGCTTTTGACTCTGTCACACCATGGCCGACTAGTTGTACTTTTGGGAGACCACTTATAGTGGTCAGCTGACCACTTTAAGTAGCTGGCTGACCACTTTAAGTGGTCAGTTGCTTTTTGTCACATTTTTGGAGATATTTTTAGCCATCTAGTATAGCTGGAGAGCACTAAAACCATCCTCCATACACGTATGATGGGATGGCCTTCACCCTTAGCTTCTTCAAGAAGCTTGAGCTTTTGCTCTCTGTAAGAGGGAGGCTCCCCCTCCCTCCGCCAGGTTTAGATTTTAGAGGCTTAAGAGATATACATACATACTTGTATCTATCTTGCACTTGTTCTTCATTTTGTGCCTTCAAAGTGTAGTTTTGTCACACTTTAACACACAAGCACACACTCAAACACCATACTCTTGGAGTTAAGGTCCCTTGAGGTTGTTTTTGAGGTTTTTGAACTGGTTTTGGTTGGAAAAAGCTACTGGAGTTTTGGTTTTGAAGGTGGTCTTCAACGGTGAGAAACTAACCTCTTAAACCCCTATTATTGCTTAAGCTTTTGAACCTATTTTCATGGTGTTTTAGACTTAACTTTCTACAAGAAAAAGTTCTGATTTTTGGTGCTTAACATCTTCGTTGAAGGTCACTTTTGTGTTGGGGGTTGTCTACCCCCTCTTAGGCCTTGTTTGGCCTTGCTTTTGTGCCTTCTTTTTAAGCTTTGGGATCACCTCGTTTTGGCCTTCTCACCACTAAAATCTAGAGGAATTTTAGGTGTGGGGATGGTGTTTTAAGGTCCCAAAAAGGAGAGGGTCATCCCCTCTCCTTATGTC